AAGCCAGACTACGTAATCTCCACTATTTGTTCAGATATTAAGAGTCTGACTCTAGGACCACTTACTTCCCCCAGAAAACTTCCAAGGTTTATGTGGGTCTGCCCATTCAGTCATGACCAAATGACAGTAAAGGGGAGCAGTACTCCATTTAGAGATCATGAGCAAATTTATTTTTTATATTCTAATAAAGTAAAAGGAATAACAACAAAATACCATATTCACTGTAAGAAATTAGAAGGAAAGGGAGTTCAGATGGCAGACTTTAAAAGCAGCGCAGCCACAGCAGAAATAGGAAGACATAAGGGGACAGATTTAAACTGATCTCAGGGAAAAAAAAGGTGGAAACTCTGAAAGGAACATTCAAAAACTTCTACATTTTAGCAAAATAGTACCGATTATGAAGCAACACTACAAAATTACAACATTCTAAAGATGTCCCATTTCTAAAGATTACTAAATGAAAAGCTTAATTCTGTTAAATTTAAAATGAAATCTGGTTGAGGACATTAGGAGAGGATGCATATTCCTCAGTACAGAGGCATTTTCTTTATAAATCAAAGTTAAAAAAAAATACCTGGCACAAACAATTAAGCACAGTTTTCTCTCAAACAGGTAATGAAATATGCAAAGAAAACTCAATTATTCAAAATGCAAATGTCAAAAAAAGGGGACTCTGAATTAAGTTATTTAGATAATCAGATGTTTATATTAAAGAACAGGTCAATCATTCAGCTAGTTGGAGAAAACGAACTATAGCAAGGCTGCTGGAGATGCACTTTCATGGAAAAGCTCTCAACATTCACTATAGATAGAGGTAGGGAGTAAATAAGGAGCTTGTACAAGTCCCAGAAGAAATTATATAATACATGTCATGTGTGTGTGTGTGTATATATATATATATATACACACACACACACATATATATATGTATATATGTATATGCATATACATATATATATACATATATGTATATGTATATATGTATATGCATATACATATATATATATATGTATATACATACACAAACACCACAAGTCCCAGCAGAAATTATATATGTCATACACATACACACACACACATACATATATATACACACACACACACACACACACACACACACACACACACACACACACACACACACACACACACACAAACACCCAGGCCAAAATCAATTTTGAAAGACTTAAGAACCCTGATCAATGAAACAACTACCATTTTAGAGGCCCAATGATGGAAGAATGTTAACCACCCTCCTGAAAAAGAGGGGATGCACTATTATTCAGAACAAAACACATTTTGGGATATTGCCAATTGGGGAACCTGTTTTGCTTGACTATGCTTATCTGTTAACAATGATTTTTTTTTCCCCAGGAGGGGAGCATGGGAGAAAAAAATAAATGCTTGACAACTGAAAAAAATAAATTTTAATTTTTAAATAATGGGGTTTCTGTGATTTTTTTTTAATATGCCAAAGTAATTTTCGCAAGAAGAAATTTGGATATGGAAAGCCAGTGGGAGAAAGATATGTAAAACCACTCTCAAATTATTACTCCAAGTTCTAGATAGTCATTTGCTTCCCATTAGAAAACTATTAATGTTCATTATCTCTTCAACAATTCTTATGTAAAGACACATTTATAAATCCAACTGATGTTAGGTCAAGGGAAAAATACAAATGAGCTCACTCATAAATGTTCCAAATTTGAAAGGTAGGTATGGCAAAACACAGATGCTCACTTTGGTAATAAAAAATAAATACTGAAGCAAGTACAAATAACACATTCATATTTGATTAATAAATTCTAACAAGTTTATAATTTAAATCTTATTTAATAATAATCCTCAAAAAAATAACTAGCACTATTTATGGTCAGAAAAAATGAGTCCCAGTTAACAAACTCCACAAAGTTATAGCACTTGCAAAAAATGTGAGGTTTCTACACTGAATCTCTAGAACATTAATTTCATTCAGATGAGTATGAACATCTTCACACGAACACTCAAGCGGAAGGAGAAAAATATAACTAAATTAATGAAGGTTCATGGCCTCTCTAGCTGTTACCATTAATTTCAAATTCTTGTTCATCTCTGACATTCATATTTAGGGGAAAGTTTGGGATAATTTTTTAAAATACTCCCAAAAGTAACAGGGAATCGCACAAGGTTGGTAATCCTGTAGAACTCTAAATTTCAAAGGGGATCAGAGACAAAGCATAGACAGTCCCTTACATTACAACCCTTCATTATGTTCCAAATAACTTGGCTAGAATTGTCCTTTTTCTCCGATTTTGTTTTTCTATTTGGAAAATAGGTATACTTGTTCCTTGTTAATGAATAAGAGGGAAATAAGTTTGTACTCTGTACAACTTCTGGAAAAAAAAACCATTATGTGAAATTGAAGGTACTAACTTTATTGCTACTGAGCAAAGGCCCAGTAGTTTTCCAAGGCTAACATCTCACTGCAGTTGCTAGTTTTCCCACGCATATAGAACATTGCAGGGTAAATGTCTGTGGGGCAAATTATCGGAAAAGTTTCTGATTCAATTAAATTGCTCAGGCAGTTATATTAATAGGATATGTAAGATCAAAGTACCCCTGCAGCTACAATGCCTCACGAAGGGATATAATAACCTCCATTATGTACTTTTTAAGGGGTTATGTTACAATAACCCTGTTTAGATATCATGGCTGGGGTTTGGGGTTGTTCTGGTTAACTGAAATTTCCTTTAACTTATATTAGTAGAAATGCCTCTAGCAAAGGTATCACATGAGATATAAAGATCACAAAGACATAAAGACATGAGATATAAAGATATTAAAGGCTCACCTCTGGCACTTTCTCTTAGGAATGTGCAATTATATTGTTCTTCCAATTATGTGTTGTGTGTTTTCGCTTTGCGTGGTTTGTGGTGGGTTTTTTTCATATATACATGGTAACATTTTTATATGTATGTATATATATATTATATATACATATCAATATACCAATATTGGTAATAAAATTACCACTTTATTAATGCTTCAGGATGTCTTGACAAAAAGAAGTCGGGGCAGGGTTGGGGGTGGGGATGGTGTTCACTTCCCCATCCCTTTCTTTATGGCCCTAGAAGGATAGAGAAATCCTTCATAGTAACTCTTGAACTGACTTCTGATTTTAGAGGGCAGGGGAAGGTGGGAAATAGGAAGTGCAGTTCTTAAGTGTTTAATAAATGTTTATGGCATCATACTTAATTTTTTTTCATTCAACAGAATCTTCAACTCTCTTGAGCAACCTCAATGCTTAAGGTTTTGATTATACAGATGACGGGTATTGTGACTCATTTCCCAGAGAAGTGATTTTAGGAACACTGACTTCCAGAGATACAAGTTTCAATTCTTCTAAAAATAAGGAAAATACAATCTAGTTCTGGCTATATATATGTAACCCATATGGCTACCCACAATGTAGTCTATGATGGTGAATAGCTTTTCAGGGAATTCTATGTACTTTTTCCTATTTCCTGGCATCTTTTGTTTTTCTCTTATCTCTTCCTGGGCCACAGCCAACCATGCCATTCATCCACCTATACGAGGAGCTATGAGAAAGGTGTAATAACCACCATTCTCCAGCTCAGCCTGCCCCTCTCCACTCCACTGTTAGCATAACTGCTGTATTTTTTTTCCAAGACAATCGGGGTTAAGTGACTTGCCCAGGGTCACACAACTAGTATCATTTTGTCTGAGGCCAAATTTGAACTCAGGTCCTCCTGACTCCAGGGCCAGTGCTCTATCCACTGAGCCACCTAGCTGCCCCTACAACTGATGCATTAATCCATGTGATGGCTTGCAGAGTGGAGAAGCAAATGAAGCATCTATAAGCTCACAAAGGGAGCTATGAAAAGAATAGGAGGGTTTTTCTTTCCGTTTACACCCCCCACCACTCTGCCTAAGAGTAAGGTCATTCAATGTGGCCTAATACAGTAAATAAGCAAAAGGGTTCCAAGATTCAAAGGCTGCCCTGCCTTAGAAACAAGGTAAGATGATGAAAGGCTACACATGATACACATTTGAGCACTAAGACCATCAGAGGTTCACTGGGAAATCAGCACAGGTACACCATTTGGGTGTGAAGGAACTAGGTAAGAGAAAGATATGTTGTACTAAGGCAGAAACACAGAATCAAAAAGTGTGGTCAGTATGAAATCTGGAGGAAAAAATATAGTGTGCAGGAAGAGACACACTTCAGTGAATAAGTTAACAACCTAGGATTCTCCAGATTGTCCACTGTGGAGAACTCATCAAGTTTTCTATGATGTATATGAAAACAACCTTTGAAAGATGCTCTATTTCCTCTTCAAGGTCACCACAGACACTGAGTAACATTCCAAAATTTCATTTGGTTTCCTGGGTATGCAACAAAAGGAAGAGGTTTGCCCTGGAAAGGCAACAGGAGCAAAAAACACTGCAAAGGCAAATCCCTTATTCTAAATGAATTGGCACTGTGGGTAATAGCTCAGTCTCTTATGAATGTGATTATCAACCAAAACCTAGGTGAACAGATATAACTAAGTTTCTAGCCCTACAAAACTCAGAAATAAATTTGTAGCAGAGGTAAGTAATTGCCCTTAGAAGGGTCCTTCTCTATTTGTCTCTACTCTAAGCTATTTTTTAATAGTAAAAATTTAGAAATGCAAATTCCCCCTTCGAACTTAGAGAAAAATAATTAGCATAGAAAAATAAGTTACTAACTTTTCAGTAGTTTTTTTTCTTTTAAATATAATTGTCAACAGTATAAACTTCCTATAGCTAAGTCGATTAAGGATGCCCTCTTAAGACAATGACTCAAAGTATTAAACATTAAAGTATGTAAAACTTTCAGGCCATCAAATTCATTATCAAAAGTATCATCTTAAAGTGATTTTGTCATTTCTATCTCTCTTCTTTCCACTACTTCTTTTCTCACAATTTCCTTTCTTTCTGGGAAGAATGGAATGACCCTTATTAACAACCTGCACAACTAAAGTTAGTGCATTTTATTCTTTGGAGAATATCTCATTACCATACAAAGAATTTTAGAGCTAGAAGAGACCTTAGTGATCAAAGTCAAATACTCTCATTTTTACAAGAAAACTAAGACAGAGAGAAATTAAGTGAATTTAGGCAAGATCATGGAGCTAATTGATGGTTAAAGTTATAACTAGAACCAAAGTCTCTTGGTTCCCAATGCAGAGTTCTTTCCATTATACCACATTTTCTCATTATTATCAGAAATAAATTTTGAATCAGAAATCAGAACCTATCATCATCATTTGCTCCAAGTTGATTAGAGGTGTCTGTATAATATCTGTCCAGGTTAAAGAAGCTTTTCCAGGAGAGAAACAGATTCTTTCATGAGGCTTTATCAACTAGAGTTGGTTATTTACCAACTCTACCAGCAGTTTCTTGAATTCTGGTAATTTATTCTAGTCTTCATTCACTCTTTTAGGTGATTTTTGCTGGTAAGAAACTTCTCAAATACTTATGCCTTCTTTTCATCCTCTGAAGGTAGGGGGTTACTTTACAGTAAAGTTACTTTACTAGCCACACCTGACCGTACCTGACCTCCTTTTGTTGTCAAAGACTCTGGGCTGACATGACACACCAGAATTTTCCATTAGTTGAAATCAGAGCTACAAGTGCCAAACCCTTAAAGTCAATAGTTGTTACAGGGAACCAATAATCAATCCATGTTTTACTCCATTAGTCATTCTTTTCCCTGTCCAAAGGGAGGGGATTCACAGGTGAGTTGCCAGTAATAACCAGAGAGGAAGTGAATGGTATGTCACTTGACAATAAATGGCTAGAGATTTCTGTGGGAGATTCCCTCAAAATTTTTCTAGATGTCTCTATTACCGAATTCCTCATCGTATCTGTCATTTCAATCATTTCAAAGTCGACTTTGTTCCATTCTTCTTCAGCACCCTCTTCTCCATAATCATCTTCATCCTCATCATTAAACCTAGACGGGGAGAGTAGTGCTTTCTGGTCTTCACTCTTTCTACTTTCCTGAATCTTGCTACTAAGAGGTGCAGTGGCCAGTTTGTACATGATAGGAAACAAAACTCCCGTTGCAATAGCTGACCCCAATGAAACATACAGAATCCCAGGAAGATGTGGGCATTTTCCTTGAAGAGATCCAACCACCACAGGAATGACCATCTCTCCCAGGGCAGCACCAATTACAAATAAAGCTGCAGATTTTCCTTTAATGGTCATGTACTGTTCGATCCAGGAAACACCACTGGGAAATGTAGTAGCCATGGAAGCCCCATACAATGCAGTTGCCACCCAAAGACAAAGGTGGTTCTTATCAAAAATCACTAGAAGTAGGGAGGAAAGCAAACTGCCCACATTGCTTAATACAATCATGGTCCCAGGCTGCAGACATGTAGCAAAACAGATCGCTATGCCCCTGCAAGTGGCAAATGTCCCCCAGAAGGCAGAGTTCAAGCCCGCTGCTTGGCTTTCACTCATGCCAGCATGCTGTGTTGCAAAAGAGAAAACGTAAGAGCCATATGTGACCTCTGCTCCCACATAAAAAAAGAAGAATATGAAAAGGAGACCAAGAAGGACACTCTGATATTTCGCAGTTCGAATCTTCTGAGCAGCTTCTTTTGCTTTCTCTTGATTTGGAATTTTTTGGAAAAACAAAACAATAAACAAGGAAAACATCACCAAAGTATAAGTTCCTATAACAACATAAGTCCATAGCAAATTCTTATTAGCAGGTACTCCAAATATGACTTCTAAGTCGGCTGCAGGGGGCAGGGTGAGCTCAGAGTGGTTTGACACGTCAGCTATCATGTGGTTTTCAGAGGGCACAGCACTGCCAAAGGCCAACTTGGCCAGTAAGGGAGCCAAAAAGGCCCCCAAGGCAAAAGTGAAATGCAAGGCCTGCAGATGTGGGGCTGCTTCACCTCTCCATAAATGCAGGATAAGGACATTGCTACCTAAAAATAATAAATACAGTTTTGTGTTAAAAATTGTGTATGACAGAGGTATCTTGAAAATCAATGCAGTAATTATGTTCAGAAGAGATTTCGGTGTCAAAAACAGTATACAAGAAATATAAATTTGCTAGGCCAAGAAGAAGGCCAACATAGAAGCCCGAGAGCCAGTCTGGAAGTCAGGAAGATCTGGGTTCAAGTCCTATCTCTGATACATACCAGCCATGTGGTGCTGGGCAGCTCTCTGAGACTCTTAAGTCCCAGAAAAGTCACTAATACGCATTGCTAGAGGCATTTCCTCTTTTGGGATTCATTGTGCCATGAAAATCAGAAGTCAAGACCCACTTCCTGCCCCCCCCCACCTTCCAAAAGGCTAAGCAAACAAATGCCACTAACCCACTTTCAAACCTTAGTGAACTTTGACAGTTTTGGAGCACTTCTGTATCGTTTAAGTTTTAGAAATGAATTCTACAGACACAGTGAACACTGATATTTTCCTCAGTGAACTGACCTAATTATAAATGCCATGCTCTCTGAAGCATCAAAATGGCCAAGTGACCCAAAGGACAATGGAGAGACAGACTAGGTGTAAGTATTTTGTTTTTTGGGTTTTTTTTTCACTAGGCAATGGGGTTAAGTGACTTGCCCAGGGTCATACAGCTAGTAAGTGTCATGTGTCTGAGGTCGGATTTGAACTGAGGTCCTACCAAATCCAGGGCCAGTGCTCTAGCCACTGCACCACCTAGCTGCCCCTTCTTTTTTTCTTTTTCTTTTTGGTGTAAGCATTCTGAAGTGTATAAGCAACAACTGGTACACACAAGTGGTATAAAAGACATCATCAAGCACAAGCTTGATCAGAAAAGGATGTGGGTGGCTCATGGAGTGAGACAAAGGGAAGCAGATGGACAGCCTGTAGGGCTGTGCTGATGACAACCCATCAAACAGTACCCAGGGGTGGGGAACCTGCATCCTTGAGGCCACAGGTAGCCTTCTAGATCCTGAAGTGCGGCCTGGTGACTGAATCCAAATTTTACAGAAGAAAGATAAAACTTGGATTCAATCACCAGGCCACACTTAAGGATCTAGAAGGCCACCTGTGGCCTCAAGGCTGCAGGTTCCTCACCTCTGGTACAACCATTCAAAGGCTAACAGCCCAAGAAGAAGGCCTACTGCACAATGGGTAGAATCTCTGTGGAAGATTTATGGAAGGACAAGAACTGCAAAGAATGAGAAGGTCCTGGTGCTGGAAACATCCACCCGATGGGCTAATGTACAACAGAAGTGACAAGGTAAACTGTGCTTCAGAGCAAAACATGCTATTTGGTTTTTAATCATCAGATAACATTAAAGTCACTAAAATTCCCCCTAAGACATAGCACTAGACACCTATTTGAGCAAATGTTATTTATGCACATACCAGGGGCAGCATGAGGTTTTCAGGATGTGAGGATCTGCAGAATCCTGCTATGCCCATCTGAGGACCTATCAGGACCCTCTAACACCCTCAACTACATGCAGGTCAAGTGACACAAACAGGTACACAGTCTCTAACTCTTTACAGAGGTGCAAACTACCAACGAATGAAAGTCATCAAACTCAGCTAAAAGCCTCAAGTCTTTATTTCTCACACCCTCAGCCACTACAGCAAAACAGGGGAGAGAGAAACACAAGAAGCTACAGTGTGGATGGTGGAGAAACGTTTTACATGTGTATGTATGCACACACATGATACTAAAGAGGTCTCTAAGGCAGTGAAAAGCTAAATGACCTGCCCAGGGTCACACAGCCAGCATGTGTCATCTACTGTGGTCTGACTCCAAGAATGACCACTTGAAGGACTGCCATATGGGGAAAAAAATCAGACTTACTCTGTTTGGCCACTCTTAAAGACTGTAAATTGCACAACAGTTGCCAATCTGCATTAGGAGAAGGAGTTTCCTCACTGCTGGATCCTTATGCTGATGAAATCCTAAGTCTAGCCTGCCCTTCTCCTAAATATGTTTGTGTGGGAACATGTAGGCATGAATATATGTATGAATATTACATATATATTTAGAAAAATACAAAATTAAGTGGCAAAGGGTTTAGTGGGTATTAGAGGTCAGCTAATTAGAGAAGGATTTAATGGAAGAACATAGGAAAATTGGAGAAAAGGGAAAAAGGGAAAAAAATAAAAAGTGATAGGCAGGGCAAGGAACAGGTTTCAATTGAGGTCTATTACCTTTGCATCCATTCCAACACAAGTATTCAATGCCCAACCTGAACATAATATGCAAATTAACTAGTAATTAGGAAATATGCACTGAATTTAATCTGCTTACTCAGACTCTAAGGCCAAATTTGGTCTAAGTTTTAAATAATCATTCCACATCATAACAATGAGGATTTACTATCTAAATGAAAGTTGCCATTCTGTTATGTTAAATACTGTCAAAGAGAAAATCTTCCATCTCTGGGGGACCCTAATCACCCACACCTACTGCTTATGAAGCAGGACAGTCACAAGTCATAGTAGTAGACGCCCATATCCAACCTCACACCTGGCAAGGATCATTGTTGTGTTTTTTTTCCCTAGGTAAATAAGGACAATGTCTGTTCCAGGAACAAGTGCCATGTGGGAGAGTAACCTAGTTGAGAATTAGAAAAAACACAGTTTTCTCTACTGTTTCCTAAAAGAAGCTATCTTTTCTTCCCTCCCTCCTCTCCTCCACTCAGGAATAATGGCAGAAATATTCATTTACCTGTGTCTAAAATTCCAGTACAGATTCCAAAGACAGCCATCATCACAACCAGTAATATTGCTTTCTTGCAAAAGGGGACAAGGGAGAGACCCACAGATGCCCCCAGCATTGATAGTCCTGAAAGAAAGGTAAAAATTAGATACAAACACATATTCATGGGTCATCACTACCATAAAAACAATCTCATCTAAAATGCCTAAAATTAGGTCAAAGTTAACTGGCCTCTTTTGAGGAGGAAGAACTCTAGCTGTTCAACACAAAGTCAGCCATGGGAAGTCAAGAAATCTGGCTTAGAGAAATAAACTTCAACAATTAGAGAAACAAAAAAAAATATAAAAAACAAAAGAAAAAAACTATTAGAGAAATAAGTAAATTTAATTCTCAACACACTATTTATAAAATTATTTGCCTTTCAGCCAAAGCCTCTGGGGTGCCTGCTGAGTACACATTAAAAAATAACTATTGACATACTAGAAGGAAGAATCAGTGGCACTACTGAACACAGCAAGATGAGCAATGAAACTCTTTCTTTTAGCTATTACCTGGTGGGCCTCCAAATGAAATCCCAGACAGCTATTTCACAGGTTTTCCCTTATCTGGCACACTGCCTCCAGTTAAGTTTATGAATTGGGAAATTAGTGCTATCAGTGGACTCAAAATTTGAGCCACAGAACTATCAACAGAAAGACAAAGTTTCTTGTTATAAACATACTGAACAAGTCTGCTGAACCACAGGATCACAGATTTAGAGCTACAAGAGACCTTCCTTAGAGCTCCCCTAGTCCACAGGTGTCAAGCTCACTGGGAAATGTTGTACAAAAGAAATAAAAATACAACAAAAATGATGTTAATTTGTGGCTAAGTCAATATGCAGCTGGCAGGGACTCACTTCTATTGTTTGATATTACTGATGTAGTACAACCCTGCCTCCATCGCACACATGAGAAAATTGAGGCACAAAGAGGTTATAAGTAATCAGATGAAGATCACACATGTAAGCAAGTAGCTGTGCCAGGATTCAAATCCAGGTCATTTGTTCTTTCTAATACACCAACTATACTGTCAAAAAATCACAGGGAACATCTACAACAAAGGCTCTTAACTTCTTTTGTGCCACAGACCCCACTAACAGTCTGGTGAAGCCTGCTGAGCCATTCTCAGAAGAGTGCTTTTAAATACATGAAATATATAGGACTACAAAGAAAACAAGCTATATTAAAATACAGCTATCAAAATACTACAAAAACAAGTTCCTGGACTCCAAGTTTAAAACCCCTCAGTTAGTTCAACACACAGCTAGACAGTCATTCAGTCTCCCTTTGAACAGTCTCTAGGAACAGGGAACTCACCGCTACAGCAGTCAATTACTTTCAGGCAGCCTAACTGCTATCAAGTTTTTACATTCACTGAACCAAAATCTGTACCACGAATCCACCTGTTACTCAGTTCTGCTTTCAGGAACCAAGCAGAAGAAGGCCTTCCCTGTAACAACTCTACAGATTCTCAGAAGACAGCTGTCATATCAGGCACCCTCCAAGTCCTTTCTTCTCCAAGATAAATATCTTCAGTTACTTGAGGTGGCCTCAGACAGCCTTAGTTCCAGTCCCTCTCCCCATCCTACTAGTAGCTTTCCTCCAGATGAACTCTCATTTATCAACAACTGTCATCTAAAGTAAACAGGTAGGTATAGGAGAGTGTCTGTGTCTGCGGGGGTATGTTGAAAAATATCTCAATGTGAGCATCTGAATGTTCACAATTACTGTCTAGATGAAGCACTGAGAGCATCTAAGTACCATTATCCAAAAATGGAATGGGCTGCCTTAAGATGTAATGGGATTCCTCACTGGAGGCTGGATGACTATTTGTCAGGGAAACTGTAGACAGAATTTTTGTTCCAGGACGGTGTGGACTAGAGAGCTTCTGAAGTCCTAACTTTGACATTCTGTGAAGCTTACATCTCCATGTGAATATACTGTTTGCTATGTACCTGCACGCCTAAGACCCCTTTCTTAGTGTGCATGTGGACAGGTCAGTGGTATGTTAACTCTGGTTGTGTATATCCAAGGGCATCTCAGTGTGTGTATATGATGAAGCGCATGTGACATTAGACTGCACATGGATATCACTCATACAGCTATGAATGTGACTTGTGGCTCCTTTCCCTTAACTCCTATAGCATTCAGCCTGGAGAAGTGTCAGGGATTTTTTTTTTAAGTTCAACTTTTATCGACATTTATTCAGCACCTCTTGTACAACTAACACTGGACTAACTCACAGAATCAGAGAACCCAAGATCAGAGAGCTGGAAGGGACGGGGGTGGCGGTGTAGTACAATCTATACAGGAAAGGAATCCCCACTATACCCTATGAGACAAGTGCTCACTTCACCTCTACCTGAAGACCTCCAAGGAAGAAAAACCCACCACCTCTAGAAGGAGACCATTCCACTCTTAGACAGCTCTAATTGTTAGAAAGGTTTTCCTGATATCAAGTCTACATTAACTTCTTTGCAACTTCTCCCCAGTTCTTCTGGTTTTGCCCTCTGGGGCCACACAGAACAAATTCCTTTCACATGACGGCCCTTCAATATTTGAAGAAAGCTATTATGTCCCCCACCCAAGTCAAAAGACTTGGAAATGGAATAGAAATTCCTCAGGTTAAACATACCCATTGCCTTCAACTAATCTTCACAGAACACAGACTCAACCCCCTTCACCATCCTGGTTGCCCTATTCTGAACACTCTTCAGCTTATCAGTGTCCTTCAACTATGGTGTGGAAAAATAAACACAATTGTGCACATGAGGTCTGATGAGGGCAGAATACAGTAGGATTATCATCTCTCTATTCCTGAAAGCTATCAATGAAGCTAAAGACTGTATTTGTTTTTGTTTTTTTGCTGCTTCCCTATGTTTTTCTTAACTGCCATCTAACCATGCCTCCTCCATCTTGTATCCATTTTGTTATCTAAGGATAATACTCAATTTTTAACCCTAATGAATTTCATGTTATTAGATTCAGCTCAATTCTCTGGCCAATCAAGTTCCTCGGGGATTCTGATGTGGTCATCCAATATGTTAGCTATCCCCCTCCCAGCTTGCTATCATCTGTAAATATGAGAAGCATTCCATTTTTGTTTTTAATTCAAGTCACTGACAAAGATCCTAAACAGCACAGGACCTAGCATGGATCTTTAGGGAACTGGCCTGGGAGAGCTCCTGCCTTTGAACTATTAACAACTATTCTTTAAGTCACGCCCTCAGTCCTGAATACATCAAACTGCAGATGGTCTAATCCAGATCTTTCCATCTTCCCTATAATAATAGTATGAGATGCTTTATCAAAAGCTTTACTGAAATCTAGATAAACTATCTACAGCATTATTCCTTTTATTTAGTAGTTTAGAAATCCTGTCAAAAAAGGAAATGAGGTTAATCAGACATGATCTGTTCTAGATGAAGCCATGGGATGTAACCACCTTTCCTCATCTCTTTAGTGATCCACTCTCTAATTTTCCAAGGAATCAGCCAAGCTCACTGGCTGATACTTTGCTAATTGTTCTCTTTTTTAAACATCAAACCCTTTTTCCTTCTCGCAGACTGTGGAAGTTCTGCTGTTTTCCACCACCTGTGGTATCACTGACAGTGGCTTGGGATCATGCCTTCCTATTGTTTTAGGACTTAAAGATGTATTTCATGTGGTCCAAGTGACCTGAATTCATTGAGGGCAGCCAGGCACTCTCTTATTATATTTTGACATACTTTGGGTATCAACTCCCTTTTAGTAATGGTTGTCCTGTCATTTCCAGTATAAGTCATTCTCCTTAGCAGAGAAAACAGAAGCAAAGTAAAAACTGAGCAGTTCTGCATTCTCTGTGTTGTCAGTTATCAGTCCCATTCACCCTCGAGTAAAGGTCCTATCACTTTTTCTTTCAAAATAGCTTTTAAAAAAGCAAATTTTGGGGCAGCCAGGTGGCCTAGTGAATAGAGCAATAGCCCTGAAGTCAGGAGGACCTGAGTTCAAATTCAGCCTCAGATCAGTCACTTGACACTTACTAGCTATGCGACCCTGGGCAAGTCACTTAACCCCAACTGCCTAAAAATGAAAAAAAAAAAGCAATTTTTTAAAGTACTTGGCCTTCAGCTCATTCTGAGGTATTGCGCTCCTGACATATTTTTCACAAGACCATGTTATAAGCTCTTAGATTCACCCTCTGCTACCTGCTCCTCTAAATTCACTTGCTTTATAGGTGCCTCAAATGTAAAAGACTCATTAACGGCTTTATGAACTTTACAATGTACCTGGAGAAACACACCTACCTGAAACAATCAGAAGACAACAACGAAGCAGCACATGAAGCTGATGAAATGAAATACTTGCAAACCTCAGCGCACTACATAAATGCAAGCTATTGTTACTATTATGCAAAAATAACAGAACAGCATAAAATGTATACATAAATCCTAAGTGGAGACTAAGTAAAGAGTAATAAGATCAAGGGAGATGGGGCTTAGTCAGGAAAGGCTTCATGGAGTTGAAGTTTGAGCCAGACCTAGGAAAACATCATGAGCATGAACTGACAAAGAGCAGGGAAAATACACATGAGCCTAGAGAAATAATAAGATCAAGATAAAGCAGAAGAGATTGTGTAGAATACAGAGATGAGTAGAGTGAGGCAGGGGACAGTAACAGAGTTAAGAGGCAGGCCCTGAATACTAATCAAAGAAATAAAAAAAAATTAGAAATAAAAAGGTCACCTAGTCCAACCACCACATTTGACGATGAGGAAACTAAGTCCCCAAAAGGTTAAGTGACCTACTCAGGGTCATCCAAAAGACCAAGGATAAACTTGGGCATAAAAGCACCATGGCAGGACGGACAATAGGAGATATCTACTGACCTCTTAAAAGTATCACTACCATAACCTTCAACCAGTTCAGACTCTACAACAACAGTCATCTCTGTGGGAAAATTATGATTTTCAAAATTAAGTTGGGTAAAAAAAAATTTTTTTTTCTTAATAGGATTTTCATTGACTTTTAAATGTTTTCATCAGCTAGGAAGAAAAAAATGGTCTTTTATTCTCAACAAAAGGAATTTCTATTTTAACTGTTGAATTCAATAAACAGTATCTCATGATTTACTGTAGGTTGATCAGAACTAAAATTTCCTATAAAATGTGAGGTATGTATTGTATAAGTTAAAAGGCTTCACCACAGATTTCAAAGGTGAGGAAGAAAGGTCTGATATAAAAAGTATGAACCTTACCTGTTACAGGCAATATTATGGAAAAGACGTCAGCAGACACCCATCCATCCTTCATCACAGCGAGATGCTTCAGTCCCTAAACACGATCTACTGCTGACCTAGCCCTGCCATCACAGAGCCAGAATGGGCATCCAGGACCCTCTTTAGAGCTACAGCAATGCCACCATATTGACCTTGACCCAGGATGGGATGTCTGGCCTGAAGACGCCTTACAGAGAACAGGACAGTTGTCTCTTAATTCCTGAATGGCTAGAAATGAATTAAAACTGCTTGGTCCCAAAAGGCAGAACTAGGAACAACGGGTAAACGTTGTAGAGAACTAGACTTCAAATCTCTACCAGCCAGAGCTATCCAGAAATGAAACAGGAAGCCACAGCATGTAGTTGTAGGTTAGCACTGGAGATCTGCAAGTGGAAGCTGCATAGGAACTTGCTGGGGACATTGCAGAGCAGAATCACACGGCCTCTGAGATCCCTTCAGATCCTAAGAATCGGATTAGTCCTGGTTTAAAAGACTCTGGATTCCACATAGTACCCAGGGTAACAGTGGAGTTCTGGGCAGACCTGAGGATCCTGGACTCTTCCTAGAGATGACCCATCTCCCCAGTAACCCCAGGATAAAAGTAACTTTCACCTAGGGAGCAGGATATGGGAAATTCACCTTGCTTAACTGCCTTCCCACATTAGAATCACCTAATTGCTAAATAAAATATATGAACACAATACCTTAACACTATACATATATATACCTAGACAGCTATCAATTTTCCTAGGTTAATATTATCTTTCACATTTTTCATTTAATTTGTTGCTTCACTGGTATAGTGAACTCCAAATGAGAAAACTATCTCTACCAGCAGAGTTCAACATCTGCTCTGCAATTTATAGTCCTAGAGAGAGAGTTGCCTAGGGCGCTGAGTTTAAATATTCAAGGGTCACATAGCCTGTTGTATCAGAGACAGGGCTTCAACCAACATCATGTTGAATGAGGCACTAATACAAATATATCTACTGAAAGTCACAAGACAACCCGTTTGAGGTACTCTACTTACCCATAATTAAATTACGATTCATGCGGTCAAAGAGAAATCCACCAATCACAGAACCACCTAGATACCCACATGCACGGCCCACAAAAATGTAGGAAATATCACTGATGTTGTGGTTCACATTCACAGCCAAGTCTTGAAATGTAGGTCCTAATATACCAATACTCAGACCCTATGGATGTAAAACAAAAAAACAACACGTTAAACTTTACAATCATTAAATTAATATATACACCTATGTGTTTGGACAATTGTTAATTTTTTTAGCCACTTGACTTTTCCTAGGTGAACTGTTGGGATGACCTCTTTGGACTGGTTATGAATCCCATTCAGGAAGTTATACAATGTTCCTACTGTCCAAACCATGATATGTAGATGGATGATGCCCATTGAGCTAGTCCATCAGAACATATACTTGAATGGATAAAAAAGCATTAGCTAAGTATTTACTGTGTTTAAAGCACTGTGTGAAGTGCTAGGGATGAAAAGAAAAATTGTAGGATAATCCTTGCTCTTTAGTAACTCACATTCTAATGTGGCAGACAACACATGTAGGTTTCAGCTAGAAGTTAGATAGGCAGGTCCAGTACTCCTTATGGAAGAATGGCAAAACAAATGCATCTTTTTAAAATGTCATTTTTTTTTTCAAAATTTGTTTATTTTTATTCTGAACTTAAACACCAAATAAAATAAACATTTTTGTATACATAGCACAACTGTACGTAAAACTGAAAATCCCTATTATAAAGTTCCCTTTTCTTTCTGTGTATAATTCAACCTTTTGCTTTCAAAGCTATCTTACTTACATGCTTCTTTCTAGCCTTCCTTCTGTTCTCTGAATTTTTAAAAAAGATACCTCAATAACCCTTTCTTTTGCTTTTTTCCTACCCTGTTCGTATTCCCCCTCAACCTACCATCATGATTCCATTTCCTCCAGAAATAAAAAAAAAAGATAACAAAGCCTTCAACAAAACTAATTCCCACACTGCTATATCCAAAAATGCATGTCTCATTATGTATCCTAAGTCTATCAACTCTGTCAAGACAGGAATAGCAGGCTTCCTCCTCTGTCCTCTGGAATCATGGTAGTCATTGCATTAATGAGATCTCTCAAGGTTTTCAAAATTGTTTTTCTTTATAATGTTATTGTATATATTGTTCTGGCTCTGTCCACTTCACTCTTCATCAGTTCATAAGTCTTCCTAGTTTCTATGAAACTATCCCTTCTTAGGTTGTAATAACATTCTATTACATTCATGTACCATAATTTGTTTAGCCATTCCCCAACAGATGATCAACTCTTTAGTTTACAGTTCCTTGCTACTACAAAAAGAGCTGGCACATTTTTATACATGAATCTTTTTCTTCCTGCTTTCATTTCTTCGCAGTATATAGACCTACTAGTGGTATAGTAGGGTCAAAGGGCATGTATAATTTAATGTCTTTTGTAGCATAATTCCAAATTGCTTTCCAGAATGGCTAGACCAATTCACAACTCTATCAACCTTTTATGTTATTTCCACTGCTAACACCCTATATTTTTCTAATGATGATAGTGCTAAGGACATTGGAGGAGAGAACTTTCTTTTCCACATCTTTAATACCTGTGGCTGCTGAAAAGCCTGGGTCTACAACATCTGCTTTTCAGTGGAAACTGATTAGAAGCTAATGTTGGAGGTGGTGGGGATGACAGGCTCCTTCTCCTCAATGGTTGCTCCCCTTGATGATGGCTATAGGGGCTGTGGTGGAAGCAAGACCAGTGTACAGGGTACACTACAATTCCCAGTACTTCAGGTCTTGGACTGTCTCCACTGGGGTCAAAGGGAAGGTGATACTCAAGATGGGTGTGGTGGTTTGACTCCTATAGCAAGCACATGCTACTTCCTATCTCTCCATCAGGTAGGTTGGCCAGCCTGCCCCATACATGGCAACTGATGGTGGTGGTGAGGATAATGCACCCTTTCTCTGTAAGCTGCACCCCTTGATAATGGCTGTGATGGCTGGGCTACAAATAGGACTGGTGGTCTGCTAAGCCTATTCCCAGGGGTACTAAGCTCAAGGTCCTGGCCTATCTCTACCAGGAACTAAGGACAGGTGGATCCTGCTGTTGGACAGTGAGCTGGGTTCAGATTAAATTGACAGAATGGAGTATGCTGAATTGCATTTGGGCAACTATATACAGCACTTTCTTTCTGTTTAAAATTTATTACTTATCTGTAACATTTTTCCTTTTAATTTTGAGTTCCAAATTTTCTCCCTCCCATCCCTCCCCTAACCCATTGTGAAGACAAGAAATGTGATATCTATTATACAAGTGAAATCATAGTAAGCATATTTCCATAGTAGCCATGTTGAAAAAAAATTAAATAAAAAATAAAAGGCAAGAAAAATAGGGGGCAGCTAGTTGGCTCAGTGGATAGAACACAGAAGTTATTGGAACAGCGGCCCTGGAGTCAGGAGGACCTGCTTGCCTTTTCAATGAGGGTGGGTGGAAAATGAGGGAGAAAATTTGTAACCCAAAGTTTTAAAAATACATGTTAAAAATTAAAAAAAATTTAAAAATACTACAACTAAAATTTTGATTATTTTGCAAATATATGCAATTATCACATGATCTTAAATTTTAAAAATCTAAATCACTGAGAAAAGCAGTAAAAAAAATTTTGGGTGCAACCTGTGATTTCATCTATGTAGGACATTCCCCTTTGCAAACAGGAAATCTAACCTAGTCTTAAAGAGTTGCCTGGGAGGTTAAATGATTGGCACCATGATCCTTTGGCTAACATTATCAGATTTCCAAAGCCAGGCCCCTATACCCTATACTAGCTATTTTCAAAGTATGAAAGCCTGCCCACAGGTCAATCAGACCGTTAGGAACGATTTTTCAAAAGGTTTATTTTGCTATCACTTATATTTCAGGATATCATAGTTTATAAGTACTGCAGATGTTACGTCATATAAATCTGAATCTCTATGTACTCATCAAGACCTTGTGTAGCCCATAAATGCTATAGTCATTAAACTACAACCAGAGTGTAGTAGATATAGCCTAAAAGCAATAGACTCAAGTTTCTCTGTTTTCTCCTGTTTGTTAAAAAAAAAAATCTTCCACTTGGCTAAAACTCTGCGCTTGTGTATTCTTACTTTCTAGAATCTGCTAAGGTAGTACATTTAATGTATAAATATGTGTGTTTTCAGAGATTAACTCTATTTGATCTCAAGTAGTTTTGCTGTGTCCTTACTAGCTACCATTGGCTCTGCTAAAGATAATCTCTATTATTTTATTATCATTCAATAACTCATTTTGAAAGCCTGAAGTTTTCTTTGTGCCCATGCAAACACGGAAGTACCTTTTGATGTTTTATTTTCCAATAAAAGTTTTTAAATATTTTGGAAATTTTCTAAATACTATCTAAAACCACTGTTATTTCAGAATTAAATATACATTCTAAAGTAAATTTTGTAAAATACTTTCTTATATTTAAGGAGGGAGTGTCAGCTTTAAAAGAAAGATTAGAATCTCTTCTAATTTTAGCCTGGTACAACTAAAGATGCCAAAAAAACATGAAACTGACATACTGGAGTTCTGACTAATGGTAGAAAGTAATTTATTCCAAAGAAATTGGGTGACACTGCAAATAAGAAATTAAAATATAGCAAAAGTTATCTTTCTCTTGGCTTCCTAGATGTTGATGGCATGTGAACCAG